GTTTTTCTTTGAATGGCTCAAGTTCAGTAATATTCATGGGCTATTCAGATCTTAATCAGCTACTTATTAAGAATGACTGTCATCTACCCTGGTGTTGCCCAGTTGTCTAGCTATTTTTAGACCAGTGGCATTTCTGTAACTTAAGTCGGTTCATCCTGTAAACAAGCTAGATGCATAGCTGTGGTCTGAAGAGCTTGCCCAGACATTAAATGTAATGTCTGATTTGCAGGAGAGGCCTACACAGTTAAACGCCTTAATTATTTGAACTACTTGCCTGGCAAAAGTTTTTGTAGATGTATTTGCACTGGCACAAACGTATTTTTGCTTGGAGGAATTTTGTTTACTGAAATGTTGCACACAATAGTAGCAAAAAAGCTGGAGGCTTGGTCGTATAGCTGTAGACAAAGACTGAGGAGGTGGAAACTCTGCCAAAGTGTGGAGTGAGGAATTTGAGGATAGGAGCAATAAAAGGCCACTTCAAGGCAGGAGTCTGGCAAAATGAAGACTGTTGAGAAAAATTTCCAGCATTTTCTGTTGTGTAACTTCAGATTTCTATTTTATGTAAATATTCCCCCATTGTTGGAGGGGGAGGGAATCTGTTAAAATAAATTTATCTTTTCCATTCTTAGGGGAAAAGATACTGCCCATCAAAATCGATTAAAAGATAAAAAATTTCATTGTATAGTGATCTATATTGTGCAAGACACTAATCATGTTTCTTATGAGTCAAACGCTTTTCCAGTTTCTGCTACTACACTTGTATTTAGAGCATTAGGGCCTTATATGCTTTTAGCATGCAGGCTTCTTCTGAAGCCGTTGTTCTGTGTTTGCAAATAGTTTGTAAAGTTTTGGTGTCTCATTTCTTCATTCATGGTAGGCATCTGTTCTTTGCTGTATCTCTAGTTTTATTTAAAGTATACTTCCAGTTGTGTTTAAAAGCTTAAAAAAAGAAAAAAAAAAAAAAAAAGCGGGGGAATGGGACTTTTTTTCCCCAGTAAAAATAGGTACCAAAACCAGTGTTCCTCAGGGATAAAGAATGGCATAGCATCTTGGTGATCTGATCCAGTTGTCATCTGGACAAAAATGGCGTTGTTCTGGCCCTAGTCTCGCCAAGAGCCATTTCTGTGGGAATCAGTTGGTCTTGTTCAATGGGTGGCCTCATTCCAGTTAAGACTGTGCAGATGCTGTGGTCAATTGGGTCAGTCTAGATACTGACTGGAAGGTGATTTTATGCTTATCTGTACTGACAGTACTATACATACATTACACCTGCTATACCTTTGTGCCTGACAATTCTCTTCAGATTTTTAAGAGTGCTAGTTATCTTGTTTTGGACCTTGTTGAGAATGCATTGCTACAGTTGCACCCTGTAGGTATTTCAAATATTAAATGTAGAGCTTTATCCAACAGGTATTTTTGTCTTAGTACTAAGGCAAGGTAGTAATTTTTTTCTAAATTAAAAAATGTAACTCTAAATCCATGGAATAAATAGTTGCACCTGGAAATAGGTGGCAGGGAAAAGTTTTATGTTCAGCCTAGTCTAGTGTAAATACAATAGCAAACAGACATCACTTGTCATACACAAGTACTGAACACCCTAAGTTTGTGGTGCCAATAAGTAACAAATTGTCTGGAACCATTTTTAATGTATTTGGCTGCTTATTGGTGGCAACAGCTTCAGAAAACATTTAGAAAGCTTAAGTCAACTGTTTTAATTACTCCCTTGTATTGATGCGCTAAGACCTTACATAGTCATTTCATTCCTACTCAGATAGAAATCCTGAAAACAATTTTCAGATGCTATTCAATTTCAGTCTTTTCCACAAAATAGTTCAGATTAACCAGAAAGCTGAAACTGAAGGGAAATGCTGATTCCATTAGTGATGGGTTTTCTCTATTTAGCAGACAGTTGTTTGATGTCAAATGCAGCCTGATCCGCACTGGGCTTCCAAGAAGTTTAGGAGAAGCTTGCCTTTTAATTATCTCCTGTGGTATAGTGTTTAAAAATAGAAACAGAAAGTCATTTACATTGAAAATAAATAATTTAGCCAGGAGAAACCCGGGCAGCTTCTCTAGCTCATTTTTCTTAATGATTGATCAAATGAGAGTATTTAGGGTTGGGCTCAGAAAAAGAGTTGGTAGAGGTGATTTGCTTAGCATATATGGACCTTCACTGGAAGACACTATTGAACGCTAAAGGGTTCTTTAATCTTGGGGGGGGAAGGTAGTATAAGAACCAGTGAGCCTAAGTGCAAACCGTGTGACAAATCAGGCACAAATCTGGGAGGCTGAAACTGATGAACCCTTACAGCAGACAATTTTCCACTTTTCCACATTTTCCAGAGGAACTGCAAAGCAAACAAGTTAATTGATTCCATAGAGAGGTATATTTAAGAAACTTAAGGGTCTCTAATATACAGAGAATCAGATCATATGATCTAATTGCCCCTCTGAATTTTTAAGCAATTCCTGAAGTGATCTGTTTGTTCGTTGGTTCAGTATTATTTGGGTACCTGTTGTTTTTCCTGCAGATGGTACATAATTTCAATGTACTTTCAAGTCCTGCAAAGTTAGTTCAAAGAATTCAAACTCTATTAGTTGCAGGTAACTCTTCTCATGCAAAATTTTGATGTGGATGTCATATCTAAATTGTTTCCTTGAAGGAAAGAGTGAGCAAGTCTCAAAGGAACTTTAAAAACAAGTTGCTTCATATCCATTACCAACCACTGTGTCATTGAGAAGAAGTCAAGTAAGGAGAGGGTACTTAAGACCAATTTTGAAAGATTTCGTAGCATATTTTAGAATTGTCACTGGCGTCAGTGGATTCTTTTTTGCTTTGTGGATTCTTCTTTGCTTTTGCGTTTAAAGTGAGTAATTGAGCTTTTTTTTCTCTAAAAAGAACAAAGAAAGGTTAAATGTAGAAATATGGGATTTTTTCCTGAAGTTGTCAGTATCAACAAAAAAGAGGAGTCCAACTGAGGTGAGAAATGGAAAAAATAGGTATTCTAAAATGTGTTTTCACCCATGGCTAAACAAATAGTATTATGGAATGGTAGTAATATTCTTTGGTACTAATTGGATGCCAGGCTTATTTCAGATACTTTTCATACTTGTGACCAAATGTGTATTAAAATATAATGTTTACAAATACGTGAAAATCAACCCCAAAGTGGTGGTGGTCTGGTTTTGTGTTTTCCTGGTTGTCTCCAAAGAGCACTTGGAGCATACATAGTGTGCTAGAATCTGCTTCTGGGAATTTCTGCCTGCGACATCCACTTCAAATATCATTCACAGCTTAAACACATTAGAAGCACATGGCTTACTGTCAACTTAAAAAAGAAAAGAAAAATTACCCTTAAGACTTTTCTTTTTTTTTTTTTTTTACTTTGCTCCATTGTGAAAAGGCTGAAGCAGCAGATTTTTGGAGCTTCTGTAGATTCTATGCGCATACCATGTTTTTGCGACTACAGTTTTACAGTTTTTCCATTTTTAAAAATGAAATATATCTGTTTCTCAGAACTCAAAATGCTGCATTTTTCTTAACTTTCATGAAACTTGGCAGTGAATCCTGTGCTCCTTCAGCGTTTCTGTATCCCCAGCTGAATGTGCTCAGAACTTCCCAGTGGTAAAGACTAGGGTTTTTTTTATTGTTGGAACGAAGAGTATCCAAGCATGGCTTAAACAGTTTCAATTTTCAATTGAATACAACAGGTTTACAGTCTGAAGTTGTATTTGGCATTTCTTTAGTAGTGAAGTGATTTCAATCATTGAGATGACGGGAAAGGCAGATATGTTGTGTTACAGCTATGTTTTCTCCTGCCATGGAGAATATATTTACTTTTATATACCCTAAGATGTATGTGTCTAGCATAGCGAATTAGATTAATTCATTAGCCAGAAGAGGGTTTTTAAAATTTTTTTTTGAGAACAGTTCATCCCATCACAGGAGAAAAAGCACTATTAGACTGCAAAAGGGCAGAGAGCTCAAGAACTGGGGAAAGAGAAACAGGCATCCCTTGTAAAATCATATCCTTGTTTCTAAGACTTAGAAACTTGGGTGGTAGTTGGGGATTTTTTTGTTTTAATTGAACCTATATTTAATGTTTTGACAGTAATTTTGCATTGTGGCACTTTATGTTTCTGGACACCAGATGGTGCTGCTAAACCATCTAATGTGTAATTTTCACACTTTTTTGAGTAATTGATACTTGATCTAGTTCCCAAGTCAGTTCTGTACTTTCCGACAAGGTGTATATTCCAGGATGCAGAACGGTACCCGATAGCTCAGCACAACACCTTCTGCTGTTGAAGGACAATGGTCTGAAAATTATAATGTAAACTGAAGTGTGTTGTAGAATCAATATTTTAGATCTCACTGGGCAAAAACTGCCATCAGCTGGTGTTCCTCCTGGGTATATAGCTTAATAGCAAATCTTAATTTATATACTTGACACTTCACAGACTTGATTTATTATTTAAGTGTCATTTAAATTTGATTTGATAACTTCAATCAGAAGACTGGTGGAGGCACCTTTATTGCCAGGTTAAAACTGGAAAGTATAGTTCTAGAGACTAATTAAATACAATGAAGTGATGATGAGAGTGGCTTTGAGTTTGGGGTTCTTTTCAGACGGTGTCTGTCTGTTAAAGCTGTCAAAAAAAATTCTAGTTGTCCTCTGTTAATACTTGTTTGATAAGACATGATAGCTTAGCTACGTAATTGCATTGCAGACAATGTTTTTAATACTGTGATGCACATTTGGCATTGGATTTCTATTTATTTTAAGTTGGTTATCATGTTTAATAAACTCATCTGGTAATCCTAACCGTGGGGCTGAAGGGATGGAATGATACATTTGGTTTTTAGCTGAACCCCAAAGGTTGGTGGTACAGTTTATTGCTGAACTGTAAATAATGGGTTCAAATTTATTTAAGCAGTGAGGAAATTTTTGATAGATATTTTACTGTATTTTTCTTACAAGTCCTTATTTCTTTTATAGATCCCCATATTAAAGTCTCTGGAAAAAAGGAAAATGTTAAAGAAGCGAAAGAGAAAATCATGTCTGTGTTGGACACAAAAGTAAGAAAGAACTTACTTAGAATGACACCTTAACTGCTAATTTTGTGGTGACATTGATCTCTTTAAATGGGCTCATTTAAACAGAAGGTATTGATGGACGCTTTGAAGCAAAGCCTCCAATATATTCGTTCTGGATGTTGATATTTGGTGTATATACACATTCAAACATGCAACAAGAAAATACTTGCTTAAAGCACTTTTTCCAGATCTGGTCTATATAGAAATAATATTTCCAGCCATATGGCTAAAAGCATACATAGTTTGTTCATTGGGTTGGGTTTTTTACTTTAAAATCTGAAATACAGCTTCACTGCAAACAGTAGATTATACGGCCGCTTCAGCGAACCTAATATTTTGGTTTTGTTTGAAATTCAATTTTAGGAGCATTTATGCAGTTCTATTTTTAACTGTTACTGCACTCTTACACTCTGAAACATTAGGACCAGAATTTCTAAAACGTCTAGATTTTGGCCAGGGGTCTCATATGTTCATCAGATTTTCTTTTCATCCAATAGCAAGTCGTTTGTGGCAGTGTATATGGCTTCTGTGTAGTTGTACGCCAACTTTTTGATTCTCTAAAAGGATTGCCAAAAGAACACACCAGTGATAAGTGCGATTTTTTTTGAACAACTATTAACAACATTATTATGGACTTTTAACAATATAGCTTTTAAGAACAGCTGTAAGCAGTGTTTGTACATTTTAAAAACTGATGTACCAGAAAAATGTGGTATGTTTGTTAAAGGAGGAAAAAATCCCGTGTTTTAGGTCCCATGGCTTTGTGATTTGCCAGTGTCTTCATCATATGATCCTTTCAGATCAGACAGGGGTGTATGACTGCAGTTGAAAGAACACAGAATTAAAATAATTAGAATGGATTGCAAAAGGACATTTAAGTCACAGTTGATAAAAGCTAGGGCACGTTTTAAAAGCCTTAGACATTTTTTGAAGATGCATCTTTGGGGTATTTATTTTCATGTTATTTCCTCACTGGAAAGAAAATGTGAATGGTTTAGCATCTGACTATGGTCCATATTAAAAACAACTTACTTGAGTAGAAGTTAAGCCAGTTAAGCCTCTGCAAAAATACTTTGGAAATACAATTTTGAATGTCATTCTTGAGGTTACGTTACTCTAAAATACTCAGGTTCTGCTGTGAACAAATCTAATCATGGGTGCTTGATTTCCAGAGCAATCGGGTAACCTTGAAGATGGATGTTTCACATACAGAACATTCTCATGTGATAGGTAAAGGTGGCAATAATATTAAAAAGGTGATGGAGGAAACAGGATGCCATATCCATTTTCCAGACTCAAATAGGAATAATCAAGCAGAGAAAAGCAACCAAGTAAGTATTGTTTAATATTTTAACTCATTTATACTGTAATTCCTGAGAGTAGAAAACTTTTCTAAACTTTCGTCAGTTTGGGTTTTTTGGGGATGGGTGAGTTCATGTTCAGGGAAATAGATTTTTGGTATTTACACTCTGTGGAAAGCATGGGACTTCCTAAGTGAGCAAATCTTTAAAAACAGATGGAAACAATTTGTGATGGCTCATGAATAATTTTAATGTTTAAACTAAAATTATTTTATGCATACAGTAGTCAACCACTTAGTGTGAATGGTAGAGAAGCAGTATGAAAAGCACTGCTCTTGTAAATTTTTTCCTGTTCAAAGCCTGACTTATTTAGCATATTGATTAATTTCTTGGTGCTTTTGGCTTATGGTGTAACTTAGTTGAAAACTAAACTTGGTAGATATCTAGTAAAAATGAATGTCCTGTTGTAAGAGTTCAGCTTTATTAGAATAAGTCATTGAACCTAAATTGTACATCTCTTGTAATGCTAATACTACTAGAATGTTTACTTTCAAGTCTTTCATCACCGTATTTAGAATTCCCTCTCGTGCATCCTAGTGGCTGCTGAGCAAAATACAGTAATTTCAAAATGTTCAAGAAAACCTACTGTTGTTGAATATTAGCAGTGAGCACATGTATACAGTAGTAGTTTAATTCCATTATTTGATCCAAACAGCTGTATTGCTTGATGTATCTTTTTTCCTAGTTGCTTAAGCCTAAGATGCTACAATATTTGTAGGTTTTTTTAAACTGGTTTTAGTTTTCAGCTACTGTTTAGCAAACACTTAGGATGTCACCAGGTGTGAAATAAGAGTTGATTTTTTAAAAATTTTTTTTAAAAGAGAGCACTGGTGTCTGAATAACTTTTCCAGTGCCTCATTTGAAAATGTAATGCTATGTTTTCTATATTCTTGCTCTTCCAGGTGTCTATTGCAGGACAGCCAGCTGGAGTGGAGTCCGCAAGAGTTAGAATTCGGGTAATAGTCTATTTCAGTATAGTGTTCCTTTGAAAACACCTGAAAGGGGAAAAAAAAAATCGTATTTTTGAGAACCCTAGGGTTGTCTGGCTCTCTCTTATGACAGCAGAAATATAGGAACAATGTGAGTATCCATATGAGTAGTAAAATGCAAAGGGTATTATAAAAACAGTGATTCACATTCTGGACAAATTTTTAACGAGCCCAAGGTGGATCTTGAACATGAAGTCTACAGTATAAAAAAGATGTAAAGTATCCCATACTGTGTCTAAAATTGCATCTTAACTTACCCTCCGTAGATGGCCTCTAGAAGCTCAGGCATCCTGTGTGAATCTATGACTTAGGAAAGGCAATTGCTGCCTCTTTAATTTTAACCATTTTCATGTATAATTTGTGTAAGTAATTTGGTGGAATTCAGTTCCATTCTCCACTCATAGTACTTTTCTATCTTTACCTTCTAGTTTTATTTGTATGTGTATTTTGGCATGGATAATCATAGATCTAATAAATTATGAAGACTTTTTTGCAATTGTTGTAGTCAGGTATGTCACTTACACAACCTTGGTCTTGGCAATCGGGAAAGAAGCTGATGTTTACGTAGCTTTGTAGCTGACTTCAGAGCTCCAATTAATCCATGACAGAAAAGAGAATTCTCTAGGAAGTTTAATAAATATTGACCTGTTTGTAGGTCTGCATGGATAAGTATGGGAAATTACCTGGCTTTATTGTTGCTACATAGTGGCAAAAGATCCTGCTATTTGGGGGGAAAAAAAAAACCAAAACCAAAAAAACCAAACAGCCTGTGCAAAACAAAAAACTTGTGTCCTTGGAAAAATCGGTGCCTTTTTCCAACTCAAGATACGATGATATTTTTATCAATGAACCCTGGGCAGAAGATGTACTACGTCAATTTAATCATCACTGACCAATACATTATGATTCAGTAATAAAATTGTTGTAGTTTTAGTGAGTATGATTTCGGTTTTCAATATTTGCTTTTCAATGTTGTTGTAGGAACTGCTTCCATTGGTACTCATGTTTGAATTGCCTATTGCTGGAATTCTCCAACCAATCCCAGATCCTAATTCTCCCACCATTCAGCATATCTCTCAGACGTATAATATCTCAGTTTCCTTTAAACAACGCTCTCGAATGTATGGTGCTACAGTCATTGTCAGAGGGTCACAAAATAACACTAGTGCTGTGAAGGTAATATGTCGTCTTAAGTAGGTTTCTGCATGTCATAAATAAAATCATAATTTCGATACTTAAGAACTATATTAATGTTATATCCTGCCTCATCAGTGCATGTTGTTATTGTATGATCACCTTTAAAGCCTGAGGGTTTGGTTTTTTTGAACTTAACTGGTATAGGTGAGGTGTAAAAACGTGTAGAAAATAGTTTTAAGTTTAGGATTTAGCATTGTCTGTGCTAAGCTTTTAATCTGTTTTTCATCTCTTGCACACCTGTTCAGGTTTCCAGCAATTCTGGAATATGTGCTAATCTTACCCA